GGAAAATACTACTATAGTAGCGCCAGAATGGTTAAGAAATTACTTAAAAGAAGGAGTATCACATGGTGAATCAGTGTATAATTATCTTGAAAAGTTGAAGCTAGAAGATATTTATCCTTAGAGGGAAAAGAGCACTTATTGAGATCTTTGTCACATGGAACGAGTCATATGTTGTCAAGTGTGTGATAGATCTCGGAATAGAAGAAGATAACCTCATATACGTCCATTATGGAGACCGTAAAGAGAGCGAGGATGGTCTACAAGATATGATGATGAATGAGATAACGGATTCCCGAGCCCACACCAGCAATAATTCAGTCTTCAATTCTTTGACTGTAGCCACGTTTTATTTAATTTAAAGTGTCTTTAGAAAAGCAGTGGACATTCACTTGTTGAGTCATGGCTTGCTATAAGCCATAAAAGGTGTCGGTAATCTATGTAAGCCTTCCCCTATATATAAAGGGCATCAGGCAACGAAGTGACGGTAGAGTTGGAGGACTAAGGTAGAGCATTCCTCTGAAAACATTAGAGAGTCCTCTAAAAAAATCCTCACCTTAAGAGACAGATTGCTTCTCCATCTCTCTCAAAGTAAAGAAACTCTAGTTCAACTCATGTCTGTTTAAACTTTCAGTCAGTGTGGATCATGTGAAAACAAATCTTAGTGTGAAAACTGAAAACGGATGATTAGGACCGTCAGATTTGTATCAGATGGATTAGATGAAACTCGCGTTATAAGCCGTCAGATTTATCTCTCCTCCTTCTCTCTCCTCTCTCCTAATTTTTCGACATTTTTTCCCCCAATTTCCTGAAGATCTTGAACTCTCCGAATCCAGAAATCTCCGATCTTCCGCTGGTTTGATATCATCTTCATCTTCATCTTCTTACTCTATTAATTTTAAAATCAAAATTCGCTGTTTCAATTCTATTCTTGACTAGAATATAAATTTTGTTCGATTTTGTTTGATTTTGCGATTTCCTGTTTGATTTTGTTCAATTTCTCAATCAACAATCTATTATGTGAGCTATGATGTTATTTCTAGGTTTTTAATTTATGTTTAATTTTGTGTTTTGTATTTTTCCTTCAGAAAATCAAAATGATTTTTCGATTTCAATTTTTTGACTTTCGATTTCAAATTTAGCTTCATAGGATTAGTTTTGAGCTGCATTTTGTGTAGTTTTTCTTGATTTAGTAGATTAGGCTTTTATGTAATTACTCAACATCTCTCAAAATCTCAATTTTTCCCATCCGATTCTACAACTTTGAGCGTGTGAATTGATTTATTTTTTTTGTACTGATTTGATTTTGTGCTTGTATATTATAGGTTGCGAAAGATGTAAGAGTAGATGCATGTGATTGTAAAGGAAGAGATAGAGAAGAACGAAGAAAATGAGTGGTGGTAAGCTTATGATTGTTGATTAACCATACAAATTGTTTACTTTGTTGTTATGTTGTTATCTTTCTGTAAGACTATGATGGTATGAAATCGATTTTGTACATTTTTTGGTTTGAGTTTTTATCTTGTTGCAGATTGAGCTTCAATGGAAGTTTAGTGTTCATGCATTATTTTTTATAGTGTCCACAACCTGTTCGACGAAATGCCCAGTAGAAATATTTAATCTGTATTACTGTTTATTTCTTTAACTTGATTGTCCAATTTACGATGTGTTAATAATGTGTATTTGTGCATGCGACGACCTGAATATCTTAATCTGATCGAAATTGTTCCCTCTTCCTAAATTTATTGAGTTTGATGATAGATTTGAGTTATTTTTCACATTTTTTTTTTGGATATTTGAGTTTCAATGGAGGTTTTGTGCTCTGCTCATTTAAAATTTTGATAGTTCACACCACCTGTTCGATGAAATACCTAGTAGAAATTTTCAAGTTGTTGTCTTTTCCCACTCTTTGATTGGTTTTGTTTTTATTCATCATAGGCACTCGATTTTTTCGGCTTAGTTTATCACTTTGTGTTCGATTTTCAATTTCATCATCAAATTTTCTGAACTTTGTGTTTTATTTGATTATTTTGATGATATTTTTCTAATGTTGCTGCATTTTATTGATGTATTTAGTCTGATTGTCATAAATGTGATTTCCTTGCTTTTGTATTGCCGTAGAAATTGTTTATATATACAACCTATAATTGGACAGTAAGCTGCTCGTTTGTGAATGGGCTGTAAGCTGCTCGTTTGTGTATAGGTGTGTGATTGGGTGAAAGTTCTGCTTGTGATTGTGAGCATGTTGATTTCACTCCTGTGTGCTGTGATGTGTAGATATGTGATTTTGCCTATTAATGGGTTGTTATATGTTGTGTATAAGAAAGAATGTGATTGGTTAAGTTCTGCTTGTGATTGTGATTGTGATTGTGAACGATATTTTGTTTAATTCTGCAGTAGATTTGTACATTTTCATTTAAGATTTTATTATTCCACTCAAAGAGTGAGAGAGTTAAATGTTAGTACCAAGTGGTCAAATGTATTGTTATCCTACTATAGAGTTTCTTTTGAGGTAATGGTACCAGAATCTAAGTGCACTCTGATACGGAGCTAGACATGTATTGTTTTGGGAATCATAGCCTCATAGGCTTATATCTGTTAAATGGTAGAAGCGTGTCTTTAGAAATTTATTTCTAGAATTCGGGTATGCTAGTTTGTGTTATTGCGAGCTCTATCATGCCTGATCTTACCTTGTCAGCTGGAGTTAGTGTAGTAACCTTCTTCAGCCTTTGTGAAGATTTATCTCTGATTGTATGATTTTTGGTGCCTGCCTGTTCAATATCTACATTTAGTTGGGATTCCTCATATACAGGTGGCTTGCTCGTATCATGATATCCTGGTATGCTTTTATTTGCCTCTACTTCTGTTCTTGAAACGTTGATCTTATCAAGCTTGTTTTGCTTCAGTCTGTATGATGTTGGTCTGTGATGTTGGTATGCTTTTATTGGCTGTTTTGGCATGTTGAAAGCCTATTAGCTCAATTGGTCGAGCACTGTGTAATCACGGGATGTAGGTTCGAATCCTACATAGACTTTTTTAATACTTATTTTTATATTTATTGACCTCTGGGTAAATGGTGTCAAATTGATATAATTACCCGAAGTTAATATATAGTTACCTATTTTCGATATAATGACCTTAGAATTATGGAAATGTTGTAAATTGTGTTTCAGTCACCTTATTTTTATATATAGTGACCTTTATTTTTGTATATAGTGACCTTTATGTAAATGGTGTCAAAAACTCAGTCGATATAGTTACTTTATTTTTGTATATAGTGACCTTAATGTAAATGTTATAAAAATTGTTATAGTTACCCTATTTTTGTATATAGTGACCTCTATGTAAATTTGGTCAAAATTGAAATAGTTACCCTATTTTTGTATATAGTGACCTTAATGTAAATATTGTAAAAATTGATATAGCTACCCTATTTTTGTATATAGTTACGTTATTTTTATATATAGTGACTCTATGTAAACATCGTCAATTTAGATAAAGTTACCTTATTTTAGCATGTAGTGACTTTTAAAATGTTGCCTTTGTAAAAAAAAAAAAAAAAAAAAAAACCTTTAAAACGGTTGAATTGATTATATGTAAGGTTGGAATGATCTTAGGACTTTAGAACCGTCTGATCTTTTGTGCTACTAATGAATGACTAAGATTGCTTGTTTTTAGTTTTTACCATAAGCTCTGTTTTTAGCGGAACCTCCCCGTATATATATATATATATATATATATATATATATATATAATGTGATAATACAATGTCTAAAAAGTTATTTATATACTATCATTCTAAGATATAAAATCCAAAAAGTAAATTTCACTAATACAACTAAATGACACGTATTTTGTCCACTTTTTATCTATTTATTTAAAAAATCTTATTTATTAAAATAAATATATTTTTTGATGTCTAATGATAAATGAGTCGAAAGATTTTACACCAAATTACAAGTTACTACTTTTTTTTTTTTATGACGAAAAAAAATATGATAACGAGTCTTGTGATAAATGAGTACACATTATTGTGATTAATATTATTTCGAAATAATGAATAATCTATTGTTGTATGAGCTTTTCACTATTTTGTATTAAGTTAGTTTAAATTTTGTAAGATTTAATATTTGAACTTTTAAAGCTGTTGCACGAGTACTATATTAGTTACCCCTAAATAATTTATTTATTTATTTTTTTACCAAAACCACAAAATCATCCCTTAAATGTTAATCAAAATTTAGTAATTTTTCTTGAACATTGGTCAATATCTAATCTTAAATTTCTATTATACATATGACATGTATGCTCTTAGTAATTTCATTTTGAAAAATCACGACAATTTTTTACTATCATGTTTAACTTATGTTTTTTTCTCCCTTAGCTTAAACATTCTCCTTTTTCGCCTATAGACCTTTCCCAACCAAATTATGTCATCAATTCACCTCTTAATTATACTTTAAAAATTTTCTTCACGCCCCCGTACCTTTTTTTTATTAATTATTTATTTCCCCTCATTCTTCTCGTCTATTACATATGGCATGTTTGACAATAACATTTGGAGCACCTTTATTGTTTGTTAATAAAAAGCTACCAAAGTTCATTTAAGTTACTATTATTAAAATTCATTTTATTGTTTATTGCTAGTTTGTGTCAAACACTTTTACCAAAAAAAAACTAATTTCAAATTTGCCTCTAAGAGCTACTTGTTTGTAAAACAAGGCAGAATTGACAGAAAGCAGATGGCGGGCGCAAGTTTTAGAGTCGTGCGCAACATTTAAACTTGTGCTTGATTGGGTGGTACAACTTTCTTGCATTACACTTTATATGCTTTGAAAATAATCACGTTTATCAATGTACATAAATTATACTGAATAGTTAAAATATCTATTTTTTTTTTGAAATAATATTTAATTATTATTAAGTTAAACTATAATAATTTGATATTTTGAAAATACACTTTGGTAAGATTTTCACATATATATTTTCACATAATAATTAGATAATGTAAAAATTTTCCAAATAAGGAAATGAAGCAAGTATTTAAAAACGACCGAAAATAGAAAGTGGAGCAAGTATTAAAAGCGGAGGGAGTATTAACTAATTTGAATACGAAGTACATAAGATTTGACAAAAAAAAATAAAAATAAAAACATGTTACATACCGACAAGAAAAAAATGTTTTATAGTGGGGGGAATTTTATTACAGAAGGCAAGATTATGAAGAAAATCCACTTACTAGATTTAAACACCAAGAATATGAATCATTCTTTTCTGAGTTCACAAGACTATTGCTTACAAGCTTTACTGTCCACAAACTCCTTTGGTCCCTAAAACAATGTTCTATCTATTTTTTTAAAGTTATTTCCAAATTTTATCAATGATAAATTAATTATTAATGAGTGTGATATCTTGGATTTTAATGCTTGATTCCTTCCTTACTTATTCGCTTATTTTTTTTTTTCTTTTCCATATGTCTAGGAATCATTATCTGCTGATTTTTAAGGTTGGGCAACCAGGCATTTCTTGCTCATTCATCTGCTCATAATTTGAGGGTTTAGGTAATCTTTCTATCATAATTTACAATCATTTTTGTTGGGTATTTTTTATTCTAATTTTTTTTTGTATGTTTGTTGGGTTTTTCTATAAAGTTGACTGTACTTCATTTTTTATGCTAATTATACACAGTTTAGTGTACATTAGTTTATTAAGTACATGATTTCCCGGGTAATTAACATCTTAAACAGGACAAAAGTTTGCCATTTTTCTATATTAATTATAACAAGTAGTCATGTAGTTTAGTGATTAGTGTGTTGGGAATCAAAAGTTTGTTTATTAGCTAACTAGAAATTTCAGACAGTTTTTTAAAGATTATATTATTGATTTTGTAGTTTTTAAATTATATTTCTGAGTAGTTAGGTGATGGGGTTTGATTTTATATTCTATGATGTTGAATTACATGGAAATTTTTTTGGGATTTTTTTTCATAGATTCATGTGTTGAATTTTTTGGGTCTTTACATTGAAGGTTAAATTCTTGTACACAGGCATTGTATGTTATGATTGATTACTCATTCAGTCGAAAATTGAAAGAAAGCCAGTGTTTTTAATCATGGGTGTCCTCCTTAGTCGAAGGCTTGGACATGTATCTTGGATGGGAGCTATATTAGTGATTATCCTTTATTTGGAAGTGGAACCCAGTTGGGGAAAAGGTGTGGCCGATAATTCTAGTGTAACATCTTCTATTTCGAGGCCAAAATCTGTGAACATTGGTGCTCTTTTCACTTTCAATTCGGTTATTGGAAGAGCAGTGAAGCCAGCAATGGCTGCGACAGTTGATGATATCAATTCCAATTCCAGCATTTTACATGGAACAACAATAAACCTTATATTTAGTGATACTAATTGCAGTGGTTTCTTGGGAACTATGGAAGGTAATTTTTGTCACTGGAGCCTTTTCTTTTTGTTTCGCTCTTCAATTATTCATGTGATTGTTTGTGTTTGTGTGCGTAAATATTATACTTTTTTTTTTTTTCTCGATTTATAGATGATCAATTCTTGAGTTGTGACATAAATTGGAGCTTTTAAGGGGTAATGCTTTATACATATTCACCTCCCTAAGCTAGTAAGCCTCATCACTTTGGAATTCATACTAGTAAGTAGTTGTTTTCGAATTTGGCTAGAAGCTTATAAAAGAAATCAAGTGGCGGGAAAAGCTCGTTGAGGTGGCTTGTGCACTTTAGTGGATAAAAAGACTAATATTTTCCACAATGAAAGCTCTTTTTTTATTAAAAACAAAAAAAAAGAAATATCCGTACACTCTTTAGACTTTCCATTTTACGCTGTTCAGTATCCCAACCAAAACCATGTTATGTAAAGTATGTAGATTGGGAGTTAAATAGGAGACAAACAAGCAAATTATTTATCCTTAAATTATTACTCTCAATCTCCAACGAAAATATGACCACTTGCCAATCCTTTGTGAATTGCTAAAGTTGACAGTTCTGATTTGAAAATCTTCTAAGTTCTGTTTGGTTTTTCAAACAATGATTTTAAGCTGTATTTATTTTGACTGCCATCTATATAAATCATATCTAGATTATATATATTATTTTGATAGTCCATGAAAAATGCAGTGGTAATATGAAATTTGACAAGAGCTAGTGCTTTATGTATTCTTGCATCTGTCTACATGTATTTTTGACTTTTTGATTTGCTTTAAGACTATTGACAGTTTTAGATGGCTTATATTTTCTCTGTAAATTGGTTAATAGTTTGCCTTATGGCTGTTGGTAACGCATATCTAATTTTGTTCTTACTAAAGGGAAATGAACCTCTATTTATATATCAGAAACATGATATATCTAAGTTGTTCATCTGTAAAAAACAAAATGTTGATTAGAAGCAGTAATTTTCCACTCTGTTTGAAAATCTGTCTATCTTAAGCTGTTGCATTTGTGCAGCAGAATTTGCCTAAACATTCAGATTGATAAGGAGAAAAGATGACATATTTGTCAATACAACCAGTTCAATCATCAAATAATGATAATAAAAGAGAATCTCTAGTTAAAGGATAGAAAGTTTTCACTAGAAATTGTCAGGCAACAGGTTAAACTCTCAACTATATTGTAATAGACTAGTAGCTCTACTGTAAATTAACAATGCATAATGTAACGAAAGGTTGGCAATGTGATTGATTAATTCATGGAACAGGGGATACAAGTAGCAACTTGAGGCTGCCAATCTCCTTGCAACTTTAGGTTGCAACTCTCAATGGGCTTCCTTTGCTAATTTCTCGATAATCTCCTTGTACTTCCTACTACAATACTTATACCAAGGATTACTAATGGTCAAGGCTGACCTTAGGGAGAGTACATGTGATTACATTACTAATATGGCAAAACCATAAATGAACAAAGCTAAAGTTGATTGCCCTCTTTCCTTTCATTCTTCTTAATTAAGTTTGTCAACTAGTAAAGGAATGCTTCCCTATGCTCCCTTGTTGCTGTTCTGACCTTGGATGTTGTTGACCTCTGTTCTCCTCTTTTCCCTTCTCGAGTATACCAAAAAGGGTGTTTGACCGGTTTGACTCCGGCTAGCGAACCAGTCCCTTACATATATACATGGTTTATACTCTTGAAAAAAAGGAATAGTATTGTGCTTGTAATCTGTAAAAGTACATATGGATGATATTTTCATGTTTGTAGGTAATACGTTGAGCTTAGTATGTTAGGGTTGAGTATTAAGAGTGCCAATTACTTGAAAGTTTATTGACTGAAATCTATATGCTGTATCTGCTCTTTACTGCAAAACTTATTCTTTCATCGTGATAGAATGACTGAAAACATTGACATTGTTTTGCTTATCATGTAGCTATACAGCTAATGGAGAAAGATGTGGCTATTGCAATTGGTCCTCAATCTTCTGGCATTGCTCATGTCATTTCCAATGTTGTGAATGAGCTACATGTGCCTTTACTGTCTCTTGCAACAGATCCTACTCTCTCTTCACTACAGTACCCATATTTTCTTCGTGCAATACAGAGTGATTATTTTCAGATGTATGCTATCGCTGACCTAATTGTGTATTATGGATGGACGGAGGTAATTGCTATATTTGTGGATGAGACTATGGCAGAAATGGGATTTCTGCATTGGGTGATGCTCTTGCAAAAAAGCGTGCTAAGATTTCATACAAGGCTGCGTTCCCTCCAGATGCTTCAAAAAATGTTATCAACGATTTGTTAGTTGAAGTCAATTTGATGGAATCTCGAATTATTATTGTCCATGTAAACCCTGATTCTGGGCTGACTGTATTTTCTGTTGCAAAGTCTCTTGGGATGATAAGCGATGGCTATGTTTGGATTGCTACGGATTGGCTTTCTTCAGTTCTTGACTCAGAACCTGTAGATCCTAGTACCATGGATCTACTACAAGGAGTGTTGGCTCTCCGCCATCACATTGCAGAGTCTGACCAGAAACATGCTTTTATGTCAAGATGGAAGGGCTTGAAAAATGTAGGAAATTCAAGCATTAATTCTTATGCTTTCTATGCTTATGATTCTGTTTGGTTAGCTGCCTATGCTCTTGATTCATTTCTCAACCTGGCTGGCAACATATCATTCTCTAGTGACCTCATGATTAATGGAAGTTCACTCAACTTATCAAATCTTCGTATTTTCCAAGGAGGCCAGCAATTGCTTCAAAGACTGCTTGGAACGAAATTCACGGGCTTGTCAGGAGTTATTCAATTTGATTCAGAAAGGAACCTAATTCTTCCTGCAGTGGACATACTGAATATTGTTGGAACTGGATCTAATAAGATTGGGTATTGGTCTAATTATTCTGGCCTTTCAGTTGTTACTCCAGAAACCTTGTATCTGAAGCCTCCTAACAAATCCTCTAGTAGCCAGCACCTTAGTAGTGTTATATGGCCAGGTCAAGTCACCAAAATTCCTCGAGGATGGGTATTTCCTAATAATGGTAAACCTCTGCAGATTGTGGTACCCAATCGTGTTGGTTATAAAGCATTTGTCTCTTCAGACAAGGATCCTCCAGGAGTTCAGGGATATTGTATTGATGTCTTTGAAGCAGCCCTGAAACTGCTTCCTTATCCTGTTCCGCACAACTATGTGTTGTATGGTGACGGTATTAAAAATCCAGATTTCAACAATCTTGTCTATGACGTTGCTAATAATGTAAGCATTGCAAATTTTTCCAGAGATTATTTCTCAGTTTATCTCACATTGGCAGTACTATTGCATATTTCCTACATTGCTTGACGTGCATTATTTCTTTGTTACATCAATTTCATTGGAGAATCAAAACTTCACATTTCGTTTTGCAAAACAGGCCGTTTCCTTAACATCACCATTACCTCTTTGTCGCACCTCTATATGGAAACATATGTATCCGTCAGTTTGTTTAAGAACTTTTTCCTAATTATCTATAGGTGCAGGAGCCATTTTTTATGTGCTAGTTTTTTTTTTTTTTTTTTTTTTTTTTTTTTTTTTTTTTTTAAATTTTTATATATATAAATATATAAATCTTTAACTTTTTTGTATGTGCAATTTTGTCCCTTCATCAGAAATTTGATGCAGCTGTTGGTGATATAACTATTATCACAAATAGAACAAGGATAGTGGACTTCACACAGCCATATATGGAATCAAGACTAGTTGTAGTTGCTCCTGTAAGAAAGGTCAAGTCAAGTGCCTGGGCTTTTCTCAAACCCTTTACTGTGGAGATGTGGATCATTACCGGGTCATTCTTTTTACTTGTTGGAGCTGCTGTTTGGATTCTGGAGCATCGGATCAATAGTGAATTTCGTGGTCCACCTAGTCAGCAACTTATTACAATAGTCTGGTTAGTTTTTTTTTTTTTTTTTTTTTTTTTTCCTGGAAGCTTCTTGGTTCTGATAGCAGTTTTGTAGCTTTTATAAGATTGGTGATGTTACTTAACTGCTAAATCTGTTGACTGGCATCTGCTCGTACATAGGTTTTTAATTATAATCAATTCTTCTGTGTTATATGAGAGGAGGGAGGAAGTGGTTGTACATTGTCATTCTGTTACCTGATGGAGTAGTATACTAGTTAGCGGGGTGGCACTATGAGATGAGTTCTCTTGGGACTAATGATTGCAGAATATGGTGTGTAGTAGAAGTTTCATTTGCCTATCTTTTCTCAGATATGAAATGATATTGATACATAGTTTTTTTCCAATTTATTATGTTTGTGCAATTGAACACTCATAGGCGCCTTACTCAAAGATACATCAACAATTGTGCATTTCTTAAAATGACTTTCTGACACAGGCTGTAATTTTGCAGGTTCAGCTTTTCAACAATGTTTTTCTCACACCGTAAGAAGATTTCTCATTCTTATTTTACTAGTTTAGTCCAGTACACTGCATAGTCTCATCATATACTGTTATAATTCATACAAGTGTGTTTGGATACAACTTAAATTACTAGTACTTTGAGAATTATAAGTTAGTGAGTGAAACTTGATTGGAAGATATGGTCACAGTTGGAGTATACACTTACATACATATATAAAATCACAAGTGCTAATTGATTGTTGGGGATCTACTTTGTATCGCTTTGTTCTTGCTTTCTAAATTCCCCCTGAACGATCGTTACCTGTTCCATTACTGATTTGCTATATATGGATTGGAAAACCTTTTGTTTTCCTCTTCCAGGTCTAATACCAACATTGTCTATCAGTACTCCATAGTGTATATTGTTCTTGACTGTCTTTACAAATGTTACCGATAATCCGATATAATATTTTTCCTGTAACTTAGAATATTCATATTTCTGGTTACTAATCTTGTCAAAAAAATAAATAAATAAAATAAAATAAAATAAAATAAAAAATTCTGGTGACTAATGCTATTAAATTTTCTGTTGTCGCTTTGCTGCAATTGACAGGAGAAAATACCCTCAGCACCTTGGGACGATTTGTGCTTATTATATGGCTCTTTGTGGTTTTGATTATCAATTCTAGCTATACAGCTAGTTTGACTTCTATCCTCACAGTGCAGCAACTATCATCAAGAATTGAAGGAATTGACAGCTTAAAATCAAGTAATGATCCTATTGGGATTCAGGATGGCTCATTTGCTCGTGATTATCTTATTAGAGAGCTAAATATAGCTGAGTCTCGGATCATAAGCCTCAAGAATCAAGAAGCATATGCTCATGCCCTTAATCGCGGGCCGAAAAATGGCGGAGTAGCTGCCATTGTCGACGAGCTTCCTTATATTGAGGTCTTCTTGTCCTACAGTAACTGCAATGTTCAGTTGGACAAGAATTTACAAAAAGCGGCTGGGGATTTGTAAGAAGCTGACTTGCTCTTGATTGTTCATGACATCATATTATTATAAAAACTAGAATAACAGTTAACCTTAGGCCTCCGAGGTTCTTAACCTATAAAGAATTTTCGAAGATCTATTATGTAACTTTTCTGCGATGGCTGGCACAATATGTTGCTTATCTATTTATTTTTGTTTTTCTCAGGCCTTTCAGCGGGACTCTCCTCTTGCAGTTGACATGTCCACAGCTATACTTCAACTCTCTGAGAATGGTGAACTCCAAAGAATCCATGACAAATGGTTGACACACAGTACTTGCTCAAGTCTATCAAATCAAGCTGATGATAGTCGGCTCTCCCTGAGTAGTTTTTGGGGGCTTTTCTTGATTTGCGGCATTGCGTGCTTTGTGGCACTTGGTATTTTCTTTTGCAGAGTGTGTTATCAATACAGCAGGTATGCTCCTGAAGTAGTTAGTCAAGATGAAATAGAGCCACCTGAACCAGTCAGGACTAGACGTCTGAGCTCGGCCAACTTTAAGGACTTGATTGGTTTTATTGATAGAAAAGAAGCTGAGATCAAGGAATTTTTTAAAAGGAAGAATAGTATTGAGGGAAACCAGTCACACGCTAGTCGGAGCTATAGTTTAGACAGGGAATCCTCTTCACCTTAAGCAATCGTTTCCTAGGTTCAGTCACATTGCTGCATTTTACTAGCTTCAAATGGACTGTACTGCTGCTATCTTACATTGACTTTCGATGTAACAGAACAGGTGACATTCCTATGTATGGGATCATCTAAAGTCCTTCAGTCAAAAGAGAAATGGGAGAGGTGTAGAATGATTACTTGTATATGCATAGAAACAATTTCTTACATACACGCGGATGTACTTACAAACACTCCATAACCAAAAATGCAATTGTTTATAACTGAATTACACAATATAACCTAGAGTGAGTCTTGGGGAGAAGATAATTTTAATAGAACTTTTATTATGAGTTAAATGTATTTTGGTTTGCATTGAGAATTAGTTGTTTAACAATAATGAAAAAGACTAGATTTAAGTTCGTGTGATGCACCCTCTTTTTTTTTTATTTTTTTTTAATGTATAATATTCATATTGATCTAATCTTAATATTATCTTGCTATTTCATTGTTAAGGTTGGATAATATAGCCAAGGCAATATATTTTTGTAATTTATGTTCGGCTTGTAAGAGGAGGTTACGATGTAATGTATATACCTATAAATATAAAATAATTATCTGACGTACTTGGGATCAACAAGGATTAATTTATAATTTATGTACTTCTCATATTTTTGAAACAAATTCATACCATTTTTGCAAGTTCTTCCTAAAAAAAAACATGTATTATGTTGGTTGATTGGGCAAAACCCTTTTGGGAGGGGGTGGATGATATAGCATAGGCAATATACTATGTATTATGTTTTGGGTGAAGAGACAAAGGTTACGATGTATTGTATAATGATGTGTAAATATATAAGTTCCATGTATTACTCCATACTTAATTTATCTTGAATAACAAAGATTCATTTGTATTTGATTTACTTCTCACCTTTTTTTGGTATATTACCATATATAGTTGTATTTTTTTTCTTGGGATTGAGAATCGAAAAATAAATTTTGTATAGAAAAGTGATTATTTCTTACAATTTAAACATTAGTTGGATGCAGAGATAAACAAATTTTGTATACAATAGTGATTATATTTACAATGTAAATATTAGCTGGCATATCATACATAAAGTGCATTTGTTTAGAAAAGTGACTTCTTTACAATGTAAATATTAGTTGGCAAAGTTAGAGATGGAAGGTGATTATTTCATCATTTCCTATTTGTTACACTAGATGAGTGCATCATATTAGTATACATCAACCTAGGTTAGCAAACAAGACTCCTTAGGAAGAGAGGGGATGACTGAGTATATAACACTCTAATTCGATAACACTATAGGTTGAAGTTTTTGAAATACCTATTTTGTATTTATTATACAACCCTCTTGTGATAAAAAAAAAGAAAAAAAAAAAATCCAATTCAATAACCATATTGATTGAGAATTTGAAATATACGTATTTATAACACAACCCTCTTGGTCATAAATCTTGCACATTTTTCTCCACGTTACAAGCACTAACACAAACTTGGAAATTAAAACAAACATGAACCCAACATTCTAAACCACTTTCAATATAGAATTCTCAACCAAAAACCCCAAAAACATAAATAATTACCACCACCATGTTCCTCTTAGATCTAAACAATTTAAGTCAATTTCCTATAAATACCCATAACACATTTTCACAATCACATCACTCTCAAAAACACCCACAATTCCCATTTCAGAAATTCAATTCCAAATCCTAGAAAAATGGGCTGTGTTATCAAACTCATTGATGCAATTCTATTACTGTTCTTCCTTTTAATGTCAGTTGTTATCCCATTGTTTGATGCCCAAAATTGTTTGCCAAATGAATATTATCCTAAAGTTTTGGTAGATCTAAATTCATGGTATAGCAGTGAGTATGGTGATTATTTGGTGGCTGAGAAGCCACATTTCTTTGTGGGTCTTATTTGGATGGAAGTTCTTGTTCTTTGGCCATTGTCAATTATCAATCTTGTTGCTCTTATTTCTTCTAAATCGTGGTTTCGCACTACCTGCTTGATCTATGGATCCTCCGTCGCCACCTCCATGGTATATTTTTGCTCTTTTAATACAAGTATTTGTTAAATTGATATATTTTCAATCTTGGTGTTATCCTGCATAATGCTGCTTTGTTAGATCTTTTTTAAATAGATTTTATATACAACGGGTGTATTGTATACGACGAGTTTAATTAGTTGGACAAGTCAACCTTATTTGTGAAGTTGTTATTTATGTGATTTTGCCTGTATACAATTTTTATGCTATTTGGAGGTATTTTCTTTGGTATGCTTGTGGATTTGGGTGTTCGAATTGGGTGTCCTGCATTGAACCTACGTCAAATTTAGATTAAGTTCTTAAAATGGGTAGAAATGACAGAGAAATGTGTTCTTTCTTTGAACGCTTTAATCTATAGACGTATAGAGGTTTAGGACCTATGTCTTTGGGTGGTGGTGGACTGGTGTGTGTTGGGTTGAACTATTAACAAGAAATGCTAAAACCCAAGGAAGGTAAAACAATAAAGGAAAAGCGAAAATTAGAGCTTGATCATTGAAAGGGGACATAGGATAAAAAGGATGGCTTATTGAAAGGGAATGTGTAATGGTGTTTTTTTGGTCTTTTTAGGGCTGGATGGTTAGTAGTGTAATGGACCTATACTGATGTATGGGACCTATACTGATGTATCTCACAAAAAACAAAATCAATCAATCAATCAATCACAAAAAACAAAAGGAAGGAAAAAAAAGAAATTTCAGTCGTAGGTTGATTTTAAGAAGGAATGATGAGAAAATGAGAGGTTCTATATTTATTTTTGGAGGTTTAAATAAGGGGAATTGCATTTGATTGGCAAATGTTGTCAATTAAGAAGCATTTTCGTAATTTAAATTAAAAATAAACCCATCTTCTTAGGGGAAAAATAGAGACTATTATTTGAATATTCTCCTCATAGGTTTAGGATATACATTTATGTAATGATATCCTAAACTTATGAGGTTAATATTTAAGTAATTTTCTCTATTAGATTGTATATTCAATAATTAATAATGTAATTTGTATATTATTTAATTCAATTACGAAAATGCCATTGGATTGACAAATTTTTCAATCAAGGTGATTATTTGGTCAGACCTCTTAAAGAAAAGGATGGCTTGAAGGGTGATGTGTATTGGTTGAGAGTTAGCTACGTAATAGAATTATTCATATATAGACTTGACTTTATATGGTGTCATATACTAAACTTAACGAAGAACTATAGAAGCTATTTAGGTGACCCACTCAATCTTAACAAGGATAATACACACCTAATTTTGAATTTGAGATACACCCTTTCGAGAATGGAAACTTTAAGTGGTCATTTGGTTAAATAGAAGTAATATTTCCTAGAAACACGTATTTTTTTTTTATTTTTTGTACGTAGGAAGTTTTCAATGTTGGTACCTCATGACCAAACCAAATGAATCTTCTCCCCTAGGAAGGTCCACTATTTTAAAGGAACTAGAACCGCATAGGAAGTACGATTTTTTATGATTTTTGCCAACTAACAAATTCACTCTTTCAATTTCTAGTAGGGTGTACTTCCATTGAATTTTTGATGCACCAAACAAGCAATATGAAGTTCCATCTGTATATGTTAAAATAGTGATATGGTTCCCCCCCCCCCCCCCCCCCCAAAAAAAAAAAAGGGGAGATAGAGTTATCTAAGAATTGAAATATTGTACTTGACTATTGGAGTTTTACACAAGGGAAGAACATAGAAAGTAATATTTTTCTAGAAAGTTCTTCTCCTATGTAGTTTCATTTGCTAGGAAATACCAAATGTTGTTTGGTTAAGCACGAGAATTTTAGTTTCTCATGAGGCCATGAGAAATTCCATTGACATAGGGGTTCTAAGTAAGTAATTTCATCCATTTTGTGGAATGAAGAATTTTCCACTTATTTTGCTTATAAAAAACTTTTACCTTCCACATTCCAGGAACTTTCACTTCCCAAGTATATTGATGTCCACCAAACAAGCATTAAGTGCTTGTAAGGTGACATAACTTTTACCTTCCACATTCCAGGAACTTTCACTTCCCAAGTATGTTGATGTTCACCACATTCCAGTTATTGGATGTAGGATCTTATGGGATGTGGAAGGTAGTGGAATTGTTTGGTTGGAAATAACATGCTTCCTAGTAAAATTTATTTCCCACAAAATGGAGGAAGTTGCTTACCTAGATCTCTTTGGATAGGTGGAATTTTCTATGCTCAACCAAACAACATCTTGCATTTCCTAATATATCTATCTACACGGGAACAACTTTTATTTTTATGTAATAGTATCACATTTAAGTTAATACAAAGTACTACTTATTTAATGGGCACATAACCATTACTGCAACTTAAATGCAACCTTGAATGTTGTGTAGAGTGTGTACTTTCATCCGCAGCTGTCACGATTCATATTCACAATTCATATTGGATAGATTGCTAGATCAACATCTTATAGACCTGATGCTTTCGATTTTGATTAATTTTTCCCATTTGTTGGTGTCAAGTTCACTTGTTCTGATGGGTGATAAGGCGGCTTTTTAGTGGACAGGATTGCATTACCAAGTAGTTGTCTTATTTCATTGTTAATTCTCTAGACTTTGCTCCATATATTGACTTTAAGCATTGTATTTCACTTTTAAGGCCTGTCTTGGTTACATTGTTTTCTGCTTTCTGCATGTACTTACTTATAATAATATTTTTTAACCCATATATTTTTGTAAAATGTATTAAAACCAAACATGTAACTGTATTTCCATTGCTTAGGGGAAAAATACCAGCTAACTAACCAGAAATTGTTTTATCCAAACAAGTATCTATTACTTTTAAATTTAACACTTTTGACAAAGAGCAACCTTTTCAAACATTTCCTTGCTTATAACTTTGAGTTTCTTTTAAGACATTGTATAAAGTAACACACAAGTTGGCTAAGAGATGGTTAAATGTGACTTTTATGTTGATCACCCACCACATATAACTCTCGATTCACACAAATGGAAGTACATAAGCACCTTATTGTTGTTAATTGACAAAATGGCAATGGATGAAAGGTTTAATTAGGTAATTTTTTAGCTTATAAGTTGTGTCATATATGACTGCTGATTGCAAACATTATTTTACAAGGCAATTGGTTTGAAATTGTAATGTAATTTTAGGTAGTTTCAAAAATTATTTTTAAAATTTTCATCCCTTAAAGTGTCAAAGAGCTCTCTATAAGTGTTAGGGATGAGCAGGAACGGGTACCCGATCAAATATCTCGGACCTAGAACCGGGTCCTAAAATTTGGAACTGGTCGCGGTTCCATACAAACCGGGTCCTAGTTTTCTAGAACTGGTCCCGGAACTGGTGGGTAACGGTTACTAAACCGGGTACCCGGTTTCAGTGAACATAAAATAAAAATAAAAAAATTAAATAAAACTTGCACCAAAACTTGTTTCATCGCACCACCACTTCACCCCCCAAAGCAACTTCATCACGCCATCCCTCAATTACACAAAGCTATACCATGGATGAATCCTCACCAAATGAAAAAATATCCCAAATTCTCAAAAATTCAAATCAACTCAAGATTATCACTCTAAATTCTAAAAGCATAGTAGATCACTAATTTAAAAAAGAAATGAAAACTAAATACAACATTACTAGTAGATTCAATGAATAAAGATGAAAATGAAAAAAAAAAAAAAAAATTAAAGTAAGAAAAGGAGAAGCTAAAGTCTGACTTGTAGTTTTAGTATCTAACAAATGAATGAAGAAGGGTGAGATGCGAAACGACAGTGAGTTTTAGTTGGTAGATTAGGTTTAATGATATTTTGGACCTTATAGCTAATGGGCCAGGCTTACATGCAAAGTAGTCATACTTTATTCCAAGGTTTTTTATTTTTTTTATTTTATTTATTTATTTATTTATATTGGTACCGGGTACTCGCTGGGTACCGGGTCCAAATTATGAGGAATTGGAACTGGTCCCAGTTCAAACCAGGTCCCAATTTTTGGATTTGGAATTGGTTCTGCCGGGTCCAATTCTGGGTCCGAAACCGACGGTTCCCAACCGGTTCCGGATCCAATACTGGTACCCAGTTTTTTTGCTCACCCTAATAAGAGTAGTCATTTAATCTTGTAAAATTCTTATTAGTCTTGTACTTATTTATAAGTCTCATGTATGTTTCATAAAGTTGTCTTACTTTTTAGTGGTTTATATTATCAGGTCTTCTGATCTAAAGAATTTGTATTCTGTTTTCTTTCTTTTTCACCTTTGTACAACTTTTATTCTGAATTCGACATGACCTAAACTCAAGTCTCAAAAATGAAATGTTTGACCCCTTTTTTTGTATATTTTTTTTTTCTAGTTTTGTTCTTTGTAACGTCAATTATCGTGACTAGATTATTCTTCTGGTTAAAGTAATTTTGCTTTGAGCTTGGAACAAGTTAACTTTTTTGTTTGTCTTTGCCTCTTTGACCCTGGTAGAACCTCTAAATTGAATTTTATCATAATGTAATAATAAAAATGTGTCAACTAGAATTAATCGACAGAAGTATGTCTACATGAGAAAATCTTGTATCTATGTTATAGAAACATATAAACGTTGAGAGTTTCACGCTTGCCAATTCATAGTTTATACCGTTGCTATCTTAAATTATAGTTCAATAAAAAAAAAAAAAAGTTGGTATTTTGAAAGTGTATGTCGAAACGAATCTAACATAACTATAAATTTTCAAGCTTATAAATCTTAAAAGACAGTCAAAGGAGTAGGCGTAGATAGTGTGAAATTCCAAATGTTGTGATTAAAACAAAAGGAGGAAGTATTACTTATTATAATGGGCTCCAACCACTTACAGCAATTTTAATGCAATCTAAGTGCATGTTTTGTAGATTGTGTAATTTTACCTGCATGTGTTTATGGTTCATATTAGATAGAATGCTATATCAACATCTGTTGGACCAAAGTTCAACTTATCATTTACTCTTTGCTTCTGAATTACTTGATGTCTTAAGTGCATAAAACAAATGTCAAAATGAAAACAGTTTACTTTCTAAGCTCTTGGTACCCTTGACTTTCCTTGTTCAATTATAATGAAGGTTCCACTAGGTGAAAACTAAAAAGAGATAATTGTTCTTGGGACTTGGGGTGGTTATGTCATGGTATTGTATCCTTTCCCAATGCTGTTTGCTAGCTGCAAGGAGATAATTGCTGTATGGAGCAGATCTCTGGGTTCTAAGGTTTGGTTGCTTGTAAGCTGTAAGGAGGTAGACCATTATGTTGATGCAACAGCAAATAGATTCCTAAGCAAGGAAATGTACTAGTAAAACTAATCAGTTTTCTAAGCAATCTTATGATTTAAGGGTTTGCCGGGCAATAGAGAAAGATCAATCAAAGTGTGCATTTGTAGTTCTTTGCTGACTTCTATTTTTGCTAAGCTTCACCCTAGTTAGTTTTTTCAGTTGGTGTAGCAGTTCTAGACTTTTAGGACTTCTTTGATGGGCAGTAGATTATAGGATTGATGCAATCCATACATCTAATACGAAGTATAGAATAAGCTATCTATATGTATACTAAAGAACTATGTAGCATTTCACAATAAATTTTTTGCTATATCAGTGTTGTGTAAATCCCATTGTTTAATGAACTGGACTAACGTGACGTCCGAGTAAAGTAAATGTCATTGTAGTTGTAATTGAGTAGTCAGATAATTATTATTTGGCTATTGGACATGGGCATATCCAATATCATTGTGATTCTGTTTATAATCGACTGTCAATTACAATTTCTGAATTTTGATCAAAAATTGTACAATTCAGGCTGCAATACTTTCTGAACTCTTGAGCTCAGGCAAAGCATCAGATAAGTTGAAAATGGTGTACTTCCCATTCATGGGCTTCGCTGTGTTGGCGATTCTACGTGGTTTGCTTCCATCATCATGCAAGCCTGCAGCTGTCGGCAAAAATACTGCAGCAGGTAGGAAGAAGAGGGCTTGAAGTTACTAGCATTGCAACTACAATTTTACCTTTCTGTGGTCCATTGGATGATATTCTTCCCATTCTTGGTCCTGTGCTACAATTAGAAAGCTCCTTTTTGAGCCTTGATCACAATTACTTGTCTAATGATCAGAATTTTGTATTCCTACAATTATTTTGATGGCCGTTGTTCTACAGATTTGATTATTTATCACTTTCTCTTCTCTTCTTCCGTATTCTTGAGTTTTGATTGTCTTTTTGAACTTCATGATGCCGGTGTAGTATATAGGTACAGGTTAAGGTCAAGTTACATCATTGCTTTTTCGACCTGTGTTCACATGAAATAGATTTCTGCATGAAGTGAAACTTTTTGAGTTCTTTGATCATAGCTCATGTTGAGGGCTAGAGGACATGTAGGATACAGAGCAACAAAGGCCATGTGGAAATGGTCAAAGAGTGTAAGACTGATAAGGACCAAGTGGTGAAGTGGACAGGCCAGGGTTAGGGTTGGGTATTGTCATATAGCCCTTGTATCAAAATAGTGGCATGACCATGCCATAGAATGTGTTGAATAAGATGCATGATACTTCCTTCGTCCCATTAAGATTGATCTATTTGATCACTTTGACAGAGTTTTTTGAATAAGATGGAGCAATCTTAGTTGAATAGAGGCAGTAATTGTAGTTGGTTGTGGGGATTAGATGGTCAAAATAAGGAAGACCAAGCAGTGGCAACAATCGGAGTTGTAATGGAAATTGCACCGTGAGGCAGCATGAATTTACGGTTGCAACGACTGGTGGAAGCTATAAGAGATAATTAGCCGTAAAGATATTGCAAAGATACATGTTTAGGTTATTCTTCACGGGCGATAAATCTAACACTTCCATCAATTCTATGCTATATTATGAAAGAGTTTCTTTTAGGAATGCATTGTATTACGTACGGAGTATTATACAAACAATAATTAAAGAACAATTGAATAAGAAACAATACTCCAAAAAAACCCACATATATTAGCTATACAAGAATGCAAATTATTTACAAATTTACCGACTATTGATTGTAACAATAACAATACCAATAGTCCACCACCACCACATACAACAGTAGATGATTTTTTAACAAAGAGTGAGGCAACTGTTCTTCTGTTACACTAAATTATTGTGTAATAATAATAATGCTATATTAATCACATATGCATTTTGCAAATACAATCTATAGAACTATAAGAAATTCTTGGTTATATTTGCATTTTAGGGAGGAGAGAGAAAAATGACAAATTAAAGGGAACATATCAACCAAGATAGTTGACAACCATAGATAGGGGGACTACGCATAATCCCTTTTGCTTCAAATCAATGCAATCTACATCCTTGAAATCATTCTCTCTATTTATATTATTGTATTCCATATGATCATCAATTGAGATTTCATTGCCCTGCATTATATTATAAAATTATCATTAAAGTCAAATGGGTTAGGTATATGTTGAACTTTCAGTTAATTGAAGAATATATGAATAAATTAATGGAGATTTAAGACATAAAATCTTTTTGGAGATGCTAATTGCTAGCCTAGTCTTAATTTAGTTCCTGAAGGGATATAGTTCTTGAACCATAGACGTTATTAGAAGATTTTTGGTTTGGACGGAGAGAGATACAAAGACAGTGATGTAAATGAGATTTAACTTCTGATTTTGGATAGGAAAAATTGACATGAATAATCTCAATTTTGCCTCATTCGCCCAAAATAATCCCAATTTTGGATTATTTTTTAATAATCCAAACTTTAATATGAATTTTTCTTTCAATGGTCTCAACCGGTAATCTAACTTGTTATAACAAGTTATTTGACACGTGTTAGCATATGATTTGATAAAAATAAATTAATTTTTTTTTTAAATATTAAGAAATTAAAACAAATTTAAGACTATAGTTAAGAAAAAAAAAATAAAAAAAATAATTAATTAACTTAAAACCGCCACCAGCGCCCTGCCAACCCAGATCACTGCGCAGCCTAGGTCGCCACCCAGCCTAGGTCGTCGTCCAGACCACAACCCTCACCTTGCCAACTATGAACCCTCAGCCTTCCCGCGAACCACGACCCCTGTCGGAATCTCACCCAAACCCCCAGCCCTCTCCAGATTCGTGGTTGCAGAAGGGGGTTACGAGTGGGACTTAATTAGTTGCAAAAAGGGTTTGCGTGCAAAGGGAGAGGTTGGGGTTGCAGTAAAGTGTCGCAGCGGTGAGGGGGGACGCCGGCGGGAGGAGTCAAGGCGGCATTGGGGCTGGGGGCAGGCTGGGTTGGGGCGGGCGCCGGTGGAGGGCAGGGAAGGTGGCTGATGGTGGTTTTCTTAAAATTATATTTAAAATAATTAATTTTTAATTATTTTAAAATAGTTAGTTTTAAAATAATTAGTTAATTATTAATTTGTACTAATAATTTTTTGACCAATCATGTGATTACATGTGTAAATTACATTGCCAAAAAAAAAAAATAACTTTTTTAACAAGTTACCGATCACTTGGGACCATTAAAAACAAATTCATATCAAAGTTCGAATTATTAAAAATTAATCAAAAGTTGAGATTATTTTGGGCGAATGAGACAAAGTTGGGATTAGTCTTGTCAATTTTTCCTTTTGGATATCACTTCTAAAACTTTAACCAACTAAGTTTACATGAATATTCAAAGGCATAATTTAGATGCTAGTGAATGCGAGGAGATGTTTTGGGTTGAACGAGTGACAAATTTAAGAGTATGTTTATTGATCATGCCAATATATACTAAGCATGTTAATTTTTTTTACGCTTTCAAAATCAAAAGGGAATATTTTTTTTCTTTCTTTCTAGTGCAGGTACCTTATATTTCTAATGAAATTATTGTACATAACATGCTTAATGACACTTCAAATCATATTAAGCAATTTCATACATGAGTGACTTTCATGTGATATTTGGTAACCAAAATCGATGGGTGTGAATAATATCTAGTAAAATTATTGTATACAACATGGTTAATGATTAGGGGATTTTGCTCCCACCAATCGGAATGCGCCACGTGGGCCAATCAGGTCCTGCCAAGTGTCCCCCAGTTGGAACTGTCAGGGCTTGCCACGTGGCACGCGCTTATTCGTCCACCTTGGACCTATTATGTCATGACACGTGGCATACTCCATGCCTAATGGAGAAACCGGCCACCCAGGCCCAACTTCCGAGGGAAGCCCAATCAGCCCTAGGTTAACCTAAACCTAGGATTGGCACGTTTCCCAAGGTTATAAATACCTCCCTTAATCCTCATTAAGGAGGGATGACACATTAATTACAGAGATTACACAGAGTTAATAGGCTGATCACGCTAACAAAGCAGATCACGCTAAAAGCTCACATTAAACACTCTCTCCTAGAGAGACCCAATCACTTTAATTTCCGCATTAATTACTCCTTAATCAAGTACTAACTTGACCGTTGGAGGCGGAGCTCCCACCACCAGGAGTCTCCGTTGTTTTGCAGGTACAGGCGTCCGGTTTCAGTCTCGGAATTGTAACTCTCCCGCAGGACATCAGAAAACCCCGAAACATTTGGCGCCGTCTGTGGGGAGAGTACTTCTGAGATGGCATCCAAGTCTGTACCGACTCCTGAAGAGAGGTGTCCCCTAGACGACCCTCAAGTTCAGTCGGACCACGATACTGAGAGTGAATTTGAAGTTGAAGCTCACACAGCTTCAGACGGGACCCTAAGGGCCCGACGTACCCGTCATACCGAAAGGAGGGAACGGGAACATCTTCAAACTGGAAGTGAGCCAGCAGGCGCACCGCCTGTTCGGCAGCAGCCGACTGATGGGTCTGCTCCCATCACAAGGAACGAACTCATGACCTTCATGAGGGACTTCAAGGGCGAAATTCAAGAGTTGATCAACAAGAAGCCGCCTGCTCTGGACAAGGAGCAGTCGGCTAAGAAACCTTCCACTTCACTGAAGAGGAAGCCAGTTCAAGGGCGAGAGGCGACTCCTCATCCTAAATCTAGGAAGCGGGAGCCGACTGCCCTTGATTTCACAAAATACCGTTTTCCTACTCCAGGAAATAGGAAACCTGTTCGTCATATTCAGGCGGACGGGTCGAGGAAATCATACACAGACGCTCGGCTACTGCTAGAGCAGAAGAAGAGTGACCGATTGTCAGAGTCGGCCTCTACTTCAAACTTCCAAGACAGTCTGCGAAATACCTCAATGAGGCATACGCAGTCGTATCATGAGAGTCAGTCAGGCGGCACCTCCCGTCAGTCTGGCTTTCATAGTGACCAGGCGGTACCAAACTTACCGTTTGTGCCGCAACAACAATATTTTTTGCAGCCACCTCCGTTTGGTGAACATGCAGCAAAAAACGTCCAACCTATGGACTGGCAGCTACGGTTGCTTAGACTTGGTGAACAGCCGTCGGCTTTCTCCAAGGAAATTACTGAAGCCGCTCAGCCGGCCAAAGTGAAAAATGTATTAGTAGGCGCCTATGACGGCACTACTAACCCAGAAGACCATCTTATGGCTTTCACCAACCTGATGTACCTTCAAGGGTTGGATGATCCCACCTGGTGCAAGTGTTTCCCAGCGACTCTCAAAGGAATCGCACAACAATGGTTCGGCAACCTGCCGACTGGTTGTGTAAATAGCTTCAGGACGCTTGCTTACTTATTCACCTCCAACTTCGCCATGAACATCCCTGCAAAGAAGACGACCCTTGATTTAGGAACAATTCAGCAGGGCGAGAAGGAGGGGCTTCGTTCTTACATCAGGCGTTTTAACCTGATGAGAATACAGATTCAAGGGTTACCGGATGAGGTAGCCTATATTGACTTTTTCAGAGGTCTCAAGGACGGGTCGACCTTCAAATTTGACTTGGTCCGAAAGAGGGCAGCGACTCTTCAAGAGGCCTTGATTGAAGCGGAAGCCTATATACAGGCGACTGATCTTTGTAGTACGGGAAGACAGTCGGACGGTAAAAGGTCCGACAAAAAAGAGGGACGACAGAAGCAGTCATCCAACCAAGACGATAAAAGAAAAGAGGTCTGGGCCGCTGATTCCTCTAAACAGCCGGCCCAGAAAAAGAAAAAAGAATTCAAACCATACTCCCCAAAGTATGCGTTTAGCAAGGATAACCAGTTTATCCTAAAAGAAATCAAGGGACGGATCTCAATTGAGAAGCCGGTCCCCATGAAGGGTTCTGCAAACAACCGGAACCAAGAAAAATCCTGTGCTTATCATGAAGATGTTGGTCATCACACCAATGACTGCATCAGTCTCATGCGGTATCTGGACCGCCTGGCTGAGCAAGGTGATCTTGACACTTATGTCAAGAAATCTACGGGGAACACTTCCTCAAAAAAGCAGTCGACCAAAAAGAATCAACAGGCCGATAGCTCCGATACAGATGATGCAGTCGTCTACACCATTGCAGGCGGCTTCTCAAGAGGCGGCCCCACTATTAGGGGCAACAAAGACAATATCAGGCGGTTAGATGTAAATTCCGTTCACCAAGAACGGCCGTCCAAATATACATTTCCTGAGATTGTCATCACTGAAGAAGATCTAGGAGGGGTAAGAGGGCCGCATGACGACCCTATCGTTATTGAATGTAAAGTGGCCAACCAAAGAGTTGGCCGAATCCTCATAGATACCGAAAGCTCCTCAGATCTCATCAGTAGCAAATGTCTGTCGAAACTAAAATATCAGACTGACTGCATACATCCGGCCTCCCACCCTTTAGTAGGGTTTTGAG